CAAATCGCTTTAATGATTCAAGCATTATCATTTTGTTTATGGTTGTGCAACTCATTATCTGAGTTGCCAGATAAGAATTTGGACATATTTTATGGCATCCATCATAAAACTGCAGTCGAACATGCAGCTGTATGAGTCAGTGGTTACTGTTAGTGAACTGGCACCAGTGTTATTTTCATTTAACTGGGATACTTAATTGAGAGTTTTTTTAATTCTTATGTTCTCACTTTTTATTTAGTTCAAGGAAACTAATTTTGTGGGTTTTTAAATCATTTTTATTAGTTATTGTTTTGTTTTTTTAATGTCTATAGTTTTTTATTTTCATGGTAACACTTTATAATGTGTCATTTGTTAACATTAGTTAATGTATAACATGAACAAACGATGAACAGTTTTACAGTATTTATTAGTCTTTGTTAATGTTTGTTAATAATAAATATATAGTATTTCATTATTAGTTCATGTTAGTTCACAGTGCATTAACTAATGTTAACAAACACAACTTTTGATTTTAATAATGCATTAGTAAATGTTGAAATTAATAATAAATGCTGTAGAAGTATTGCTCATTCTTAGTACAAGTTAACTAAAGTAGTTAACCAATGTTAACTAATGAAACCTTATGTTAAAGTGTTACCGTTTTTATTTATGTACATTTGCAGTTTTAGTTTTAGAGTTAAGTGCATCACGTTAAATTAAATGAAAATGAGAAATGTAGATGAAATAAAATAAGTTTAAGTTATATTTTATTTCAGGGAATTTTTTGTTTACTTATTGCACATAAAAATGTTTTGGTTTTAGTAACACTGACTGGTAAATCCAAAGTCTGCTCATGACATAAAGTTACCCAATCATATTCTGCCTTGACATGAAGAGCATGAAAAATGTAACGTCCAATTTAAGTATTCAATTATTGTTTTTTGCTCAAAGCCTCCTCTCATCTTGATAAAACTGCATGACAATAAAATGTATTAAGAGCATCTGGTAGTAATGTTCAATGTGTTTCTTCACCGCATTTGGCCAAACAGTTTTCAGAAATTCATGACAGATGTGGTAGGAGACAAGGACTCTGTGTATTATAACAAATTCCTGGAAACATATGAATGTTACTGTTTCAACTTTGAAACATTCAGTTTCTTTCTTTGTTGGATTTATATGATACCACAGCCAGAACATTGTTTCGGTAGACTGTGAATGCTCTTTAAATTGGTTTCTGATCTTAAAAAAAAAAAAAAAAAAAAAAAAAAACACACAAATACTCATTTGTTTTTCTTGACTTCTGTTGTTTTCTTACTGACCATCATGTACCATCTTTGAGGGCAAACCAGTGGTGGTTCTAAGCATTTCCAAAGGCAAAAAAAAAACTAAAAAGAGTACAACTTGACAGTGATCATCATGCATTTCTATTGTATGGATTTGACATGTTCATAATAACCTATTTTGTGTTCTACAGGTAAAGGATACACGAGTTTGGAGTGACATGAGGGTAGATAGATGATGACAGAATAGACTGTGAATGATGGATTTGACCTAAAACACCCTTAAAGGAATAGTTGCATTAAAATGTGCTGAAACAGGTCAGAACAGATTTGGAGAATTTTAGCATTATGTCACTAATGGATTCACTGCAGTGAATGGGTGCCGTCACAATGAGAGTCCAAACAGCTGATAAAAGCATCACAATAATCAACAAGAAATCCACACCACTCCAGTCCATCAGTTAAAGTCTGGTGAAGAGAAAAGCTGTGCGTTTGTAAGAAACAAATCCATTATTTCGGTCTGATGGACACCCATGTTTGAATTTTAAAATTTAATTATACCATTATGTAGTAAATTTAGTAAGCCGTTTTTTCCTCATGGGGACTATTGGCTGGTTTCAGAGTTTACTTTCCTTACGGAGACATTTTGTCCTCACAATAAAGGCAACACCTGACCCACACACATATACTCACACAAATAAATTTGAAAGATTTTACAGATACAATCTGAATCCTTTTTTTTCTTCTTTTGAATTCCCCTTTTGTGGATCCAGGATTTAGAACAGCGAGTTAATTGGTTTTCTTGTCCTTTTTTTGTGGTAGATTCTATCTGAACCATTTTCTTGGAAGAATTGTGCTTGGTGTGAGACTTTAACTGCTTAACTTGCAGACGTTCCACCTTTAGCATACACACACACACACACACACACACACACACACACACACACACACTCTCTCTCTCTCTCTCTCTCTCTCT